GAACATGCTCCTTCCAAACTGGCAAAAACAAACACAGAAAGAAAGCGTGGGTTCTTTTTTTTTTAAAAGGACAATAATAATTACATTTATTGAGCATAGAGTGCTAAGCATTTTAGATCCATTATGCCATTTACTCTTCACAACCTTATGAAGTAGACATTATTATCATCTCACTTTACAAAAGAGAAAACTGAGAACTAGAAAGTTCTGTGAAATTGCTCAAGATATCGAAGCTAGCAAGTGAGCAGGAATTCAGTCTGACTTCAAAGCCTAATCTTTCACCACAGGGTTTTGCTGTTGTAGTGGTAATAGTTATCATTTTTATTTACTAATTTTTGAAAAATACCATAAAAAAGTCAAACTTCATTCTCTATATATTTAGGAAAATGATTGGCTCCACATTATGAGTGAAGATGAAAATCTATCTCCTCTGACAACCCCCTGCCCTCTATTACCCAATTTTGGTTGTTATATTCTTTTCTTTTTTAACTTTATATCTTTTTTTTTAAGTCTTATTCAAATGCACATTGGTTTCAAATGCTGTGCATTGGATAAAAAGTCGCTGGTGCTTCAGTAAGAACATTTAGTAGTATGACAAAAAGAGAAAGGGGGGAAGATCAGATTGCAGTGGGTTGAGGACTGGATCAAGCACAGAAATCACTTAGGGATCTTGCTAGAATGCAAAGTCAACAGGTCTGGAGTGCGATCTGCATTTCACGCAAACACTCAAATATACTATTCACAAACATAAACTCAAAAAACTATTGGGACTACACAAAAATAAAAAGCTTCTACACAATGAAGGAAACCATTAACAAACAAACAAACAAAAGACAACTTACTGAAGGGGAGAAGATATTCGCAAAAGATATATCTGATAAGGGGTTAATATCCAAAATATATAAAGAACTTATAAAACTCAACACCCAAAAAACAAATAATCCAATTAAAATATCTGCTGATTTTAGAAACACTAAACTAAACTAAACCTTTGTAGTTCCAACTTCGGTTTTGGGGGTTGAGGAGAGAAACAATTTGCTATTGCTCTCTTCTATATCCTTCTGCTGAAATAATTATTCATAAAAGTCCAACTCTTTGCCACTTGACTTTATACATGAGAGAAGCCCAAAAAGACAAAATTAGAGAAACATAGTGCAACTGTGTTAGCATAAAGCTTTTATTATCTTTTCCTAAACAATAATCCTTTCACTATTATCTTTGTCTTTTGAAGATACAGCTCCTGTTATTTATACAAAATTGGCATCCCACCATTCCATAGTAACCTAATGGACCCATAAATAACTATAAAACTTGGAAAGAGCATGGAGTTACAAACGCAAACCAAACAGAATATGTTTAAAAGTAAGCAGAGTTTAATGAAGTTTTTTAAAACACAAATATAAAATGGTTTTATTGCTCATTACAGCAACAAACATCTCAGTTATAAAATAGGAAATGTTTATCTGAGCAGGTATTACTTAATATAGCCATATATCATCTGGTGCAGAATCTATGAAAAGAATGCTTTTGAAGAAAATGTCTAGGAATTGTCCACTTTCTAAAGGTTACCTAAATATAAGCCAAAGTGGCACTTAGAAGTGGTTATAAATGGTACACTTCCTAATCCCATATATAGCAATAAAAAAATTCTACTCCTAGGTATAAACCCAAGAGAAATGAAAACATATGTTCACACCAAAACCTGTACATGAATATTCAGAGCAACATTATTCACAATAGCAAAAGATGGAAACAACTAAAATCGGTAAATGGACAAAGAAAATGTGGTAAATCCACACAATGGAGTATAATTTGGCCGTAAGAAGGAATGAAGTACTGAAACACAATGCAACATAGATAAACCTTGAAAATATTATGCCAAATGAAAAAAAAGCCAGTTACAAAAATCATGTATGGTCATATGAAATGTCCAGAATAGGGAAATCTATAGAGACATTACATAGATTAGTGGTTCCTTAGGTCTGGGGCAGGGGGAGGATGGAAAGACAGGAGACTGACAGTGAAAAGTATAGTTTCTTCTGAAAGTGGTAAAAATGTTCTAAAACTGATTGTAGTGATGGTTACACTTACCTGTGAATATACTAAAAATTATTCAATTATATGCTTTAAGCAAGTATGTGAATTATATTTCAATAAAGCTATAAAAATAGGATCCAATAAATAAATAAACAAACAGATTTAACCTAAATAAAGCACCGCCTTAACAGCATCTCTCTGTTGAGAGGCCTCTAAGCACTGAGATACTTAAAAATGTGTTTAAAACTATTAGCATTCTACCCTGAGAATGAAAGGAAATAATCTTCAATGTGTGTGAGCCTCTGAATACATTATTACCAGAATTAGACTTAAAAATGACAGTGATATGACTGAGCTTTTACCAGACAGACCCTCGAAGAGATAACAACTATAAATCTGGACAAACCACACAAAAAAGTACTTGAAGGCACTAGAAAGGAAATGAAAGCAGGCCAACTCTGGAGGAGTGCAGAGTCTTGGAAGGAAAAGGTGGCAAAGATGAGCTTCAGTTTTGTCCTGCTTCTACCCTGAGAGCAGGCCACAGTTGGTACCACTTGGGGGCAGGTCGACTAAAACTTCAACAGAAAACCTGAAGGCTCCTGGGCTGAGCCACTTACTCTTTTTTTTTTTTTTTTTTTTTTTAAGATCTTATTTACTTATTTGAGAGAGAGAGAAAGAGCATGTGCACGGGGGTGGGGGGGGCGGCGGGCACAGAGAGGAGGGGCAGAGGGAGAGGGAGAAACAGACTCCCCACTGAGCAGGGATCCCGACACAGGACTCCATCCCAGGACCCCAGGATCATTACCTGAGCCGAAGACACTTAACTAACTGAGCCACCCAGGCACCCCTCTCCGTCTTCTTCTTACTTATCAACCTCTGAAGTGTCTCTCATCTCTTGGCGTCTGTGAAACCCAGCATTTCCAGGTTCTTTTCCTTCTTGTCTGACCATTCTTCCTGTATCTTTTGCTTCCTCCTCTTTCTTTATCTTCCCCCTTAAATACTCCAGGGCTTTTGCCCTCAGCTTTTCATCAGCACACTTTCTCTTTACAGTTCACCTACTTCTACTCCTTCAACTGCCAGTGAGACTCCCACCTTCGTAGTCAGGACCCTCTTCTCAGCTTTGCTTCTGGATACTTCTAGCTTCAGGTCAGTAACAGTGGGGTGGGGGTTGGGTTCTAAAGTGAGCACATAAGTCAAAAATCATATATAGCCACAATTTCCCTTGAAATTTCCTTAGAAAAGCAACACGTTCTTATATTCCGACATTCATTTCTCGGTCCTACCTGCACTGTTGAATTTGCTCAAGATAAATGCACTTAAACTATGATGCCACTGTATTTTGTTGTCCCCCAAGTATGTCTAAGTTAACATGTCCAAACTGAACTTCCAACCTGCCCTCCATCTACATGCATCCTACTCCTCCACCTTTACTTTCCGCATTAACAGATGGCACCAAAATCACCCTGATTTCCTAAGCCAAAAATCCAGCAGTCAGCATTGACCCCTCTTTTCCTTCACACCAAAATCCAATCAGTCTTGATCTGTGTTCATTTTAATGCACCAAATGCCTTAATTCAAGCCCTTATCACCTTTTATTTAGGCCACAGCCAGAGCCTCAAAAAAGCCTCCTCCCTTTCTGTCTCCAGTCCTCTGCAGAGCATCTAGGTCTACCGTCTTTTGCAAATGCAAATATGATCAAATTTCTCCCCGCTTGGAAAGATCCTCCAATGGTAAACTACCATCCCTAGCAGTGGTTTTCAAGCATTGTTGTAGCAGATAAATACCATTTTCAAATAAATATTATATAAGATCCTAATATCTACAAATAGATACAAGCTATATTTTATTAGGATTAATTTACTATATAAGTTGTAAACGTGTGACTTATTAAAAACCAAACATTGAGAAAAATGATAGGTAGTTTTGGTGAAATAAAAAAATTCAAAATCGTTGGTAAGCAATTTGATCAGAATCATCTTGCTATTTATTTCCCTATTTCATTTGCCTGCATGTGATCAAAAAAATCCTAATTCATAGCAATAGGTAGCTACCAAAGGTAATATTTTGGATTACCTCCCCCAGTAGCTCACCTTTTAACATAGTGTTTATTTAAAAAGATAGCAAGATCCAAATACAAATGAATTCATCTGTCTGCATGAATTATTTGGTTGCTGGTCTCTGCTTGGTTAAAACTTGGTATGTAATATTTAGTTTGAGTATGTGTTTAAGATTTATTTTTTTTAAATTGAAAGTCAAAACAAGCATTTGTGTAAACCTTGAAACTCCTCCCCTGAACCTTGGTTCCATGGAATAGAGTTTGAGAACCAATAACCTAAGTGCTGAAGCCCAACTTCCTAGGGCAGCATGCAAGATCCTGTGTCATTTGGATTTTATCAATCTAGTTGCATTTCCTCCCACTGCCAAAATTCCACCCAATATTCTAATTCTATCTCCATCTATCACAGGGTCATACTTTGGCACTTACTGTTTTCTCTGCCAAACCCATGCACTATTGCCTTCTTACCTGAATTTCTATGAACTATTCCAAAGGTTAAAATGTTAATGCCTCATGAAGCCTTCTTTGACTTCCCCAAAGTACCTTGCATATGCCTCCATCATCAACATGTGTTGCCTTGTGTAATAATCATCTCTTCCTCTCAAACATGAGCTCCTATGGAAGACAGACTAATTTAACCATCCCTAAGTGCTCAGGGACTTTCAAAGTGCCTGGTACCTGGTAATCACACCTTAAATGCTTTGCATCAATTACTTCATCACTTTCTATTAATAGGAATAACTAACAGAATGATTTTGGTGGGTGAAACTTCAGATCTGCGTGAGATAGTCAACAGATAACCCTCTCGTCAAGTTGACGCGTTAGGTTAAGTAAGTACTAAACGGAAATCACTGTTAGTCTCATTTTAATTTTGACTTCATTTTTCTTTCATAGCGGTGTCACTCACCAACAAAGGAAAGCAGGATCACCAGCAGGACAATGAGTGCACAGATACATGGAATCAAGACCAGCAATAGGAAGCGGAGAATATTAGCAGTTGCCAGCTTCTGAGAGCAGCCATCACCCATGGTATTGTCAACAGCTCCCAAGACCTAAAGTAAAAGGGAGATGGGAAACATGGTTTTTATATTACAAAGCAACTCAATACACAGAATGGAATTTTAGAGTACAGCTGTCCATTCAGAACAACAGCACTCCTGAGAGATTCTGGTGCACGTCCTTCAGGGCATGAAACTGAACTTAGTCACTGAATCATGCCAATAAATGAACAAATAACTGTACAACCACATTCAGGGCAGAGAAAATCATCTATTTCTGAAATCTTTTTTAGGAGTATGTGAACTTTTAATGGGATTCCACCTTGATTTTTTTGACATATTTACCAATTTGGTGGTATTCCAAAGAGCTACAAATTACCATGGCCCAGAGCTATAAGCAAAGACTGCCTAGTACAGTGGTAACATATTGGTGAGTAGGTGTAGACAGGACATTACCCAGACTTCACTGCTGTTTGTCTCACCAGTTCTAACCCAAATCTGCATGAATCTGGATAAAATTAATTTTCAGCCATTCAGCAAGGTTAAATGAAGTTGAACACTGAAAAAGAGCCTGTCCTGGTTGACCAGGACACTGACAACCCCTAAGGATACTTTCCACGATGCCAATGTAGCCTATCCATCTGTGAGAGGATTATGAGATGCAATCATGAGGGTTCAGATAAAAGTTCTTATCTTCAAATACTTTATATTTTGCTAATTTAAATTAAATACTTTAATTTTTAGTTTGGTCTCTTGCCAGAAATTCATTTATTACAAATGGCTAGCTTAGGGCAGTGACTTTTTCAACAGGAATCTGAGATGAAATTAAAAGTGATTTGTGGGGTACCTGGGTGGCTCAGTCAGTTAAGTGTCTGCCTTCGGCTCAGGTCATGATCCTGGGGTCCTGAGTTCAAGCCCCATGTCAGGCTCCCTGCTCAGTGGGGAGTCTGCCTCACCCTCTCCCCTGTTTCCCCCTCTCCCTCCACCCTTGTGCTCTCTCTCTCTCTCAAATAAATAAAATCATTTTTAAAAGTGATTTGAGTCCCACTCCATGAGCAACTCTTCCAGTTCCATATGAAGGTGTTTCTCATGGTTTTCTTTTAGACTTCTGACTCTCCTTGCATTTTTTCCTGTGACAGTTCCAGGGCTTGAACTGTAACCTCTGCATAACTAACTCCTGAATCTCTCTTGAGTCCCAAACTTCCTTTCAAGTTACATAATATATTTCCAATGCCTAGTGCTTAGCAGCATCTCTTCTCAACATATCCAAAATCAAACTAGTCTCTTTCTCTATCCCTACTGTCAAACTAGTTCTTCTCCTGATTTCCATATTTGTGCTAACAGACACTCTACTTCTCCAATAACCCCAAGACTCTTCACTTCTCCATCATCACCCCCATGCCATGCATTATTCAGGTTTTGTTGGTTCTTCCCCTATAATAGATGTCTAATTTTGAAAAATGAATGACCTTTGAGGCAGAGCTTTATCATAACAAGAAGTTGTTCCAACAGAATGGTCCTGTATTTGATCATTTATAGCATATAACAAGTACTTGATAATTTCCCATGGATAAAAAGGCAACTTTGGTAGGTTCTTCTGAATTGCAAGGCATATATGATACTCCATTTCTGCTTTATTGCCCCTACATCAGAATCAATTCTTGTTCACTAACACATATTGCAAGCAGTGTTCACTACATACACTGTGATATAATGATATCCTCTGTAATTTTAAGAATACCCAATGAGACATATTATTTGAAAGAACATATGATGTTAGCTTGAGAATGGCTTGATCTCCTAGGTTAATGTCTTTACTGACCCATTGCCTCTGCACCTGGTTTAATCCACCAGCCAAAGTGAGATCATTCGGAGTTAATTTACAATTTGATCTGCAAGAAGACATGGCACTGTGTTAGAGGAGACCACGAAAAGGATATGACCACCCACTGACCCGTGAGCTGGACTCAGGCAGTCAGAGACCCCTCACCCCCTCCCCTGTCCTTGAAATGTACCACTGTTCCCACAGCCTGAGCCATTTTCAAGAATGCAGCCTTGAGAGAGCAATGTGCTGTTGAGACCATCTGGACAAAACACATGACTGAACCCAGTTAAAGCCTCTATATAAACTTCTATGATTCTGGCTGGCAGGTGTGGAAAACTACTCATCTTGTCTGCCCAAGCAAACCTCATAGTAAGTTCCCTTGCTTATTAAACCTGCCATCTACCAATCTGAAGTGGTCTGCCTCTTTCTTTAGTATCTTCTTGCCCTCTATATATGGAGGCCAGTTTCAAATTTTACCTGGGGAAGCCAGGTAAAGTTTGCAAAACAACACACTGACACAATTTAATGTAAGATCTGCAATAGCACATTGATTACAACACTAGCATTGGGTGGGTGGTGCCCTTTCAGACTTGGAGATAAGCAAGTGTGGGACTATAACCCAACAGAGAATCTACTTACTTATTTCATTTACTCAACAATTAGTTATTGAACACGTACTATTATAACAAGCACAGGGATGGATATAACAATGATTTCAGACCAACTGTCCCTCAAAAGTTCAGTCTTGTAGGAGAGATATGTCCACAAATAATATATGTCAAGGTAGCAAATGATAAGCACCATGAGACTTACAGCTAAAGTGCCATAGGAATTCAAAAGATAGGAATACAATTTCTTGCTGGAGGATCAGGTAAAACATTGTAGAGAACTTGAAGCAGACATAATTCTGACCTGCTGTCCATGGGTACCTCTATCTTCTCCCAGTCTATCAGCTCTCTCCTTTTTTCAATTCCCTACATATCTTCTTCAGACTCTTTGGACCATTAATGAAACAATACTCTTGCTAATGCCCTGAACCTGCCTACCCCCCTGGATATTCTCTGCATCATGTAAAAGCCAACACCAGATGAATCCAACAACCTGCTCTCTCTGTATGTACACCTGGAGAGTTGCAAGTGCCTGTAAAAAGCCACCCAACAGGACTACTCAGTTGCTGATGTAAAGCCTTCTCCATTCTCCTCAAACTACCTTCTCCCATTGGACCCTCACTCTCAGAAAACGGTCCACTTCAATTTCCGTCTTACAGAGAGAATAAAAAACAATCAAATGAGAATTGCCTCATCTACCTAAATCTAAACCTACACCTGATCATTTATAGACCCTTCTGTCCTGTTCAAACACAGAAGCTATTGAAGGCTCTTCGTATTTAAGACTAATCCTCCCACTTTTGTGACAGACTCCATCTCCTTCTCCCTTCTCAGTAATTTTACATCTTAATTCTCCATTAAATCATATATCCAAACTCTCTCCCTCTCTCTTTCTCTCACTGCCATCAGCTTTTTATCATGTTTAGGTCTCTCCAGTTATTTTTTTAACCATCCTCAAGCCTATATCACACTTCAGCCACTGTCCTATCTCTCTCATCCAAAATGCCCTGGGAGTTGTTAATATTTAATGTCCAAATTTCCTCACTTACTGTTTACTCTTGTATGATTTGGGACCCACTTCTGTCACTGCACCAAAAGAGCTTTTGCTATGGTCACCAACGACCTCCATGTTGCCATATCCAAAGACATTTTTCAGTCATCACTGTAATGACATCCCTGTATCATGTGAGAGAGAGAATTCTCAGCCACTCTCATTTGCTTCAAGTACTTTCTTCCCTTGACTTCTCTTTCTCTTCCCTGTCTGGTCATTCCTTCTCTTTCTGTAAGTTCTTTTCTCACATTCATACTCTCTATGCAATACCACCCACACAAATTGCATCGGTTGCCAGGCCTACACACATGACTTACATCTTTACATAGCAAGCCTAGATCGTTCCCCTGAGCTCCAGACTTTTGTATCCAACTGGCCATTTGACATTTCCTCAGTGGATGTTACAAAAATACCTCAAACCTGGGCGCCTGGGTGGCTCAGTCGTTAAGCGTCTGCCTTCGGCTCAGGTCATGATCCCAGGGTCCTGGGATCGAGTCCCACATCGGGCTCCCTGCTCAGTGGGAAGCCTGCTTCTCCCTCTCCCACTCCCCCTGCTTGTGTTCCTGCTCTCGCTATGTCTCTCTCTGTCAAATAAATAAATAAAATCTTTAAAAAAAAAAAAATACCTCAAACCTAACATGCCTGAAACCAAATAAATAATTTTTATCTCCATGTCTGGTATTTTTTTCAGAGTTCCCTATCTCAGGAAAAAGTAACTGAGCACTTGTTTGGGCACTTGGGGTGTATGATTAGGCAGAGCGAAAATCTCCAGCCTCCTAGATCCTACATTCTAATAAAAACTACCATCATGTCTCACCTGGAATGGTTTACCTATATCCAGTCTTGCACTCCCTAATTTGTTCTCTACCCTCTAGCCATGGTGAGAAAGAGGCTGTATATTAATGGATGAAGAGAAAAGGCAACATGAAAAATGATCCCCAAACTGAACTAATTCAGAAGATTCAGAGCCTGGAACCAGAGATGATCATGAGAAGCATGTACCCAGTGGCTTGGCAGAGATCTGGGGAGGGCTTTGGACTTTCTCAGGGGTGTATGGAATTTCAAGTCCATTTTATTAAGATTTCAAAGGTCACAGAGACCATAGCTGCTATTTCGGGTATATTAGCCTTTATCCTGTTCTGCCTTCCTGCAGCATTTGACTTTACTAACACACAGTAGAGTCTTGGGAATACTTCCACAGCTGCAAATGGCAAAAACTGCTTTAGAACAAAGAGATACCTGCTTCTGTAATCATACCATAAATAATTTTAACTCAGTTGTGACTCTCTCTTTAAATGAAAATACCTCCCTTTGCTCATCAGTGTACACCTGGCATCTAGAGTAGCACCTGAACACAATCAGAAGTGGATTAATACCTGTGGAATAAATAAATGAATTAAATTGCCTAAACAAAAATTGCTCTGTGCATTATTATGCAAATTACTACTTCTTTGTAAACTGTAAATGCCTTACAAAGTCCATTCCTAAATCATGAAATTGAAAATGTATTTGGTAAAAAAGTATACGTGCTGCCAAAGCGAGCACTGTATTTGGTAAAAAAGTAAAAATA